ATATGGCCTCCACGACGGCCAAGATGCCTCCAAGACGGCCAAGATGGCCTCCAAGACGGGTCAGATGGCCCCAAGATGCCTCCAAGACGGCCCAAGATGTACCCCAGACGTCCTAACATAGCCTCAAGATGGCCCAAGACGGCCCAAGAAGCCCCCAAGAGGCATCCAAGACGGCCCAAGAGGCCTCCAAGAGGTCCTCCAGGAAGGCCCGAAGAGGCAAAATCATTGATTCTCCTTCGGTTTTTGAAGGATTTTGGTATTTGCGCCTTTTCGGCTTTCCGACGGCCCCAGACGGCCCAAGAGGCCCCCAAGATCGCCCCAAGATCGCCCAAGAGGCCTCCAAGATGGCCCCCCTGACGGCCCAAGAGGCCTCCAAGACGGCCTCCAAGACGGCCCCAAGACGGCCCCAAGCGGGCCCAAGAGGCCTCCAAGACGCCCAAGATGGCCTCCAAGACGGCCAAGATGGCCTCCAAGATGCCTCCAAGACGGCCAAGATGGCCTCCAAGACGGCTAAGATGGCCCCAAGATACCTCCAAGACGGCCCAAAATGGCCGTAATATGGTCTAAGACGGCCCAAAAGGCCTGCAAGAGGCCTCCAAGACGGCCCATAAGGCCCCCAAGAGGTCCTCCAGACGGCCCGACGAGGCAAAATTCATTGATTTTCCTTTGGCTTTTAGAAAAGAGTTTGGCATTTGCGCCTTTTCGGCTTTCCGACGGCCCAAGAGGCCCCCAAGGTCTCCCCAAGATCGCCCAAGAGGTCTCCAAGATGAGCCCCCCTGACGGCCCAAGAGGCCCCTCAAGACGGCCCCCAAGACGGTCCAAGAGGCCTCCAAGACACCCAAGATGGCATCTAAGACGGCCCTGGAGCACCCCAAGAGGGCCCCAAGTCGGCCCAGAAAGGCCCCCCAAACGGCTTCCGACGGCGTCAGACGGGCCAGGAGTCCACCAAGATGGCCGAAGGTGGCTCGCAGCTGGCCTAAGACGGCCCAAGAGGCCTCCAAGAGGGTCTCCAGGAAGGCCAGAAAAGACCAAAAGAGTGATTGTCCGCAGGTTTTTGAAGGATTTTGACATTTGTTTCGTTTTGGCCTTCCCACGGCCCGATACGGCCCAAGAGGCCCCCAAGATCGCCCAAGGATCGCCCAAGAGGCCTCCAAGATGGCCCCAGAACGGCCCAAGAGGCGTCCAAGACGGCCCCAAGAAGCCCCGAAGACGGCCCAAGAGGCCTCCAAGACGCTCAAGATGGCCTCCAAGACGGCCCACGAGCCCTCCAAGACGTCCGCAAAGGCGTCCGCCAAGAAGGCCCGAAGGGGGTCGAAATGGCCTCTAGGCGGCCAAGGTGACCTTCAAGATGCCCACGTGTTCCCCGAAGGCTTTCCAAACCGATTCGGGGAACACATGGTCCGATAGCTTGGCAGGTCTGGCCTCAACGTTCGGCCACATAGGCCACATAGGCGCTTCCAAAAAGACAGGGGGCGGCGGTGATTTCCGTAGGCGTCTTCGATCCGCCGCCCCCTGTCGATTCATCGCAGGGGTGCCTGGCGTGCTGGACCCTTTCGGTTTTGGTGTTGGTTCTTTTCCAAAAGAGCTCCCCTTGGGGCTTCGGCCCGTCCCGCCGGCCACCTGAAACGATGCCGAAAGATTGCCCAGAGGTGGTTTCAAAGGGTGTTTCCGTTCCAGACGGCTCCAAGATGGCCCAAGATGGCCTCCAAGATGGCCTCCAAGACGGCTAAGATGGCCCCAAGATAACCCCAAGACGGCCCAAGATGCACCCAAGACGGCCTAAGATGGCCACAAGATGGCCCAAAACGGCCCAAGAGGATCCCAAGAGGCCTCCAAGACTGCCCTAGAGGCCTCCAAGAGGTCCTCCAGGAAGGCCCGAAGATGCCAAAATCATGGATGTTCCTTAGGTTTTTGAAGAATGTTGGTATTTGCGCCTTGTCGGCATTCCGACGGCCCAAGATGACCCAAGAGGCCCCCAAGGTCGGTCGCCCCAAGATCGCCCAAGAGGCCTCCAAGATGGCACCATGACGGCCCAAGAAGCCCCCGAGACGGCCCCAAGAGGGCCCCAAGACGGCCCAAGAGGCCTCCAGGACGCCCAACATGACCTCCAAGACGGCCCCGAAGCGCCCCAAGAGGGTCCCAAGTCAGTTCAGAGAGGCCCCCAAGACGGTCCCGACGGCGTCAGACGGGCCAGGAACCAACCAAGATGGCCGAAATTGGCTCGAAGCTGGCCCAAGACGGCCCAAGAGGCCTCCAAGAGGGCCTCCAGGAAAGACAGAAAAAGGCCCAAAACACTGCTGTCTCTTAGGTGTTTGAAGGATGTTGACATGTGTTTCTTTTCGGCCTTCCGACGCCCCGAGACTGCCCAAGAGCCCCCAAATGTTGCTCAAAGATCGCCCAAGAGGCCTCCAAGATGGCACCGAAACGGCCGAAGAGGCCTCCAAGACGGCCCCAATAGGCATCTAAGACGGCCCAGGAGGCATCCAAGACGCCCAAGATGGCCTCCAAGGCGGCCCTGGAGCATTCCAAGAGGGCCCCAAGTCGGCTCAGAGAGGCCCTACAAGCGGCGTCCGACGGCGTCAGCCGGGTCAGGAGCCCACCAAGACGGCCGAAGATGGCCCTAAGATGGCCCAAGACGGCCCAAGAGTCTTCCAAGAGGGCCTCCAGGAAGGCCCGAAAAGGCCAAACTCATTGATCCCCCATGAGTTGTTGAAAGATTGTGGCATTTGTATTGTTTCGGCCTTCCGACGGCCCGAGACGACCCAAGTGCTCCCGCAGATCGCCCAAGAGGTCGAAGACGGCCCCAAGAGGCCCCGAAGACGGCCCAAGAGGCCTCCAAGACGCTCAAGATGGCCTCCAAGACGGCCCACGAGCCCTCCAAGACGTCCTCCAAGAAAGCACGAAAGGGTCCAAATGGCCTCCAGGCGGCCAAAATGACCTTCAATATGCCCACGTGTTCCCCGCAGGCTTTCCAAACCGATTCGGGGAACACATGGTCCGATAGCTTGGCAGGTCTGGCCTCAACGTTCGGCCACATAGGCGCTTCCAAAAAGGCAAGGGGGCGGCGGTGATTCGCCGTAGGCGTCTTCGATCCGCCGCCCCCTGTCGATTCATCGCAGGGGTCCCTGGCGTGCTGAATCCTTTCGGTTTTGGTTTTGGATGTTTCCCAAAAGAATTCACTTGGGACCTTCGGCCCGTCCCGCCGGCCACCCGGGAAGACTGCCCAGGACCTCAATTCCCAAATGTTTCGCTCAAGATTGCCCAAGATGGCCTCCGAGATGCCTCCACTGCGCCAAGATGGCCTCCAAGACGGCTGCGATGGCCCCAAACTGCCTCCAAGACGGCCCAAGATGCACTCAAGACAGCCTCAGATGGCATCAAGATGGTCCAAGACGGCCCCAGGGGCCTCCAAGAGGCCTCTAAGATGCCTCCAAGAGGTCCTCCACGAAGGCCCGAAGAGGCCAAAATCAGAGGTTTCCCCAAGGTGTTTGAAGGATTTGGGCATTTGCTCCTTTTCGGCTTTCCGACGACCCAAGACGGCCCAAGAGGCCCCCAAAGATTCCCCCAAGATCGCCCAAGAGGCCTCCAAGATGGCCCCAGAACGGCCCAGATGCCCCCAAGACGGCCCAGAAGGCTTTTAAGGCGCCTCCAAGACAGCCCTGGAGCATTCCATCGGCCCAGAGAGGCCCCCCCAAGCGGCATCCGACGGCGTCAGACGGGCCAGGAGCCCACCAAGACGGCCGAAGATGGCCCTAAGATGGCCTGAGATGGCCCAAGAGGCCTCCGAGAGGGCCTCCAGGAAGGCCCGAGAAGGCCAGAATCACTCTTTTCCCATGAGTGTTTGAAGGATTGTGGCATTTGTGTGTTTTCGGCCTTCCGACTGACCGAGACGGCCCAAGAGCATCCAAGGATCGCCCAAGAGGCTCCCAATATGGCCCCAGAACGGCCCAAGAGGCCCCCAAGACGGCCCCGAGAGGCCCCCAAGACGGCCCAAGAGGCCTCCAAGACGCCCAAGATGACCTTCCAGACGGCCCTGGAGTATTCCAAGAGGGCCCCAAGTCGGCAAAGAGAGGCCCCCAAGACGGCTTCCGACGGCGTCAGACGGGCCAGAAGACCACCAAGACGGCCAAAGAGGACCCCGAGAAGCCCCCAAAGGTCCAAGAGGCTACCAGGAAGCTCCCAGGAGGCCCCAAAAATGTACCCAGAGGCTGCCAAGATGCCCCCATCCCCCCTCCTCCGCCTCCTCCTCCTCCTCCTCCTCCTTCACCTTGATCTTCCACGCCATCCTCCCTCAAGTTTTCCCCGAAAGGTTTCCACAACGGTTGGGGGAACACATGGCCCGATACCTTGGCAGAGCTTCTGCCACAACGCTTGGCCACATGGGCGATTCTAGAAGGCGGGTGGCGGCGGTGATTCGCCGTAGGCGTCTTCGATAAATCAGATCGGCGATCGAAACGAATCGGATCGGCGGACACCGGCAACCGAGTCAGGAGGCGCCGAACCGGCGGAACTCTGCTGGCCAGAGGGCCTCCATGGAGAAGTCGGACTCCAGCTGGTGGGCATCCAACGTCGCAGTCGACTCCAAATCGGAAGCCGTCGTCATCGAATCGCCTCGAATCGGAGGAGTCGAAAAGAGCCTCGGCGAAGGTGGGGTGGCCTCGGCGGTTGCCCAGCCCCGGGCCGATGAGCATCGAACCGGATTTTGACCGTGTTTCAATGTCGTCGTCGCCGCCGCCGCCGTCATAGTCGCCGTCGTGGCCGTCGTCGTCGTCGTCGTCGTCGTCATCGCAGTCGAAGGAAGGGGGGGCGGCGGCGGCGGAGGGGGACGGGGGGGAAGGGGGGCCGTCGTCTTTGCCGAAAAGGAAGGGGGCGGCGGCGGTCTTCTTTGCCGAGAGGGGAGAAGCGGCGGCGGCGGAGGGAGGGGGAGGATGGGGTGGCCGTCGTCTTTGCCGAGAAGGGATGCGGCGGTGGCGGAGGGGGGGGGCGTCGTCGACGAGCTCCTGAGCCTTGGCACGACGGGCACACCGACTGCGACTGCATGGTGCCCAGGGGCGTCTGCACCGCCTCGTGGAGCGCCCCCCCCCGACCAGGGCCGCGGTGGTCGTTCGTCGTCGCCGCCGCTGGCGTAGACGCCGCCGCCGCCGTCGCCGCTGCAGCTGCCGCCGTCGTCGCCGCCGCCGTCGCCGCCGTCGCCGCAACAGTCATCGCCGCCGCCGCCGCCGACATCGACGTCGTCGCCGCCGTCGTCGTCGTCGTCGTCGGCGTACTCGTCGCTGTCGTCATTTTTTCCGAGAAGGAAGGGGGGGCGGCGGCGGCGGAGGGGGAGGGGGGGGGAAGGGGGGCCGTCGTCTTTGCCGAAAAGGAAGGGGGCGGCGGCGGAGGGGGGGGGGAGGAGGGCGGGGTGTCGTTTTTGCCGAGAGGGGGGGAGCGGCGGCGGCGGAGGGGAGGGGGAGGATGGGGTGGCCGTCGTCTTTGCCGAGAAGGATGTGGCGGAGTTCCTAAGCCTTGGCACGACGGGCACACCGACTGCAACTGCATCCGGCCCAGGGGCGTCTGCTTCGACTCGTAGAGCGGCCCCCCCGACCAGGGCCGCGATGGTCGTTCGTCGTCGCCGCCGCTGGCGTAGACGCCGCCGCCGCCGTCGCCGCTGCAGCCGCCGCCGTCGTCGCCGCCGCCGTCGCCGCCGTCGCCGCAGCAGTCGTCGCCGCCGCCGCCGCCGCCGACATCGACGTCGTCGCCGCCGTTGTCGTCGTCGTCGTCGCCGCCGCCGCCGCCGCCGCTACCGTCGCTGTCGTCGCTGCCCGAGAAGGGAGGAAGCGGCGGCGGCGGAAGGGGGAGGAGGGAGGGGAGGGGAGGAGGAGGAGGGGGAAGACGAGGAGGACGAACAGGAAGATGAGGGGATATGCAGATTTAGCGACACCGTAACCACGTTGGCTCAAGTCTTCAGTGGTGGACCTTCCAGTGGGCGCATGGCTCAAGCCCTGCTCAACGCAGAGCCTGGGCTCAGGGTAGGGGTCCATTCGATCCTCTGGAGTCTGCGCGCGCCCGACTCTTTCGCGCGCGCTCCATGGAAAACTAGGAGTGTCTGATTATGAGCGCAAAGGTTGAGCTGAAAGCGTTGGGCAATACAATGGGCAATCGACTGTTCAATGTCCCACTTGCAACTGTCCAGAGATCGCCCCCACTACACCCGGTGCTGTCACTGCAAGAAGCGCATGCCCGGCCTAGTAGAAAAAAGTGGTGGGAAGTGGCGGGTTCGGCGGTGGGGAAGAGGAAGAAGTGGAGAAATATGGGCTAAGAAACCACCGCGTGCCGAGCCGGTCCGTGACCTGTTACATCGCTCGTTCCAAAATGTGTCCCAAGGAAGTGGCAAGGTGGGGGACTCGGCACTAGACCGAATGAATGACCATCCGAAGACAGGTCACAGGACCACATTCAAAGAAACAAAAAGAATGGGGCAAGGGCAGGGTCGCTCCTTGCCTGGCCTCTTTGGCCTGGATGCGCTGCATCGGCGCCTGCAGCCTGACCTCGCAGCCCGGCACCTCCAAAGGCGCAGCAGGCACCTGCTGCGAGGAGGAAGACCCCACCTTGCGGACAAGGGTGACAGCTCGCGCCTGCCGCCTCGAGGTGGAGGTGAGACCAACCTGGGAGAATGGAAGGACCAGATCGGCTGCCGCCCTTTAGGCGGGGGCTCGGGCCCACTCCTCCCCGAAAACTGGGCAAAACTTCAACACCTTCTTTAGTGGGGGGAAGGCATACACGCACAAATTTGGCTCCACGTCCTTGGGGCCATTCCCCGCACTGAACACAAAGAAACTGCTGCACCTTCCTCCGCGCAGGGATCCCAAGGATCAGATCACACCCCACCGACGACCGACCCCTGGACTGCGACGACCTCATGTCCATTGGAATCCCTGAGGAGCTCCTGCAGGAACGATGGGGTGCCATGAAAGCCATCCATAGCGGGAGATCCCCCAGGAGGAGCGATCATCAATCACTGCCTCCACTGAAACCCAAGAGAGGACTCCTTCCAATCATGAAGACTGGAGCTCACACGATACTGGGGCCGCTTTTCTCTGGGAAGCCTGGGCCACCGCCTATCTTTCTCGAAACAAGGAAGCGCTGCTGCAGCCAATTTTACAAAATTGTCAGCTCTCTCCTGTGCTAGCTCAAGTTTTGCAAGGAAATCTGGATTAGCTCGAGGGCGCACGTCTAACGCAATCTTCGAATGGGGATCAGCTGCCCTATTCGCCTGAGCAAAACGAAATTCATCGCCTACTCAGATTTCAATATCCTCGTCCGACCTGTGTCTGGCAATGATCTAGCAAACATTCGGACAGCTGCATGTTTACTGTTGGGGCGAATCTGCTCCTCAATATGTTTTGGGCCATGCGTCACTACAGCCACGCAGTCGAGCCGAACATGAGTCTCTCTGTCTGAGACCTGCCCTGCACTTGTATACGCAAGATGCTCCGCGAACGCAAGGGTCTGGGGGAGGAATCCTGTGACTGGTACTCTCAAGATGGCTAGGACCTCGTCACTCTCGGGCCTCAGCAAGGCCATTGCCCAAGCGGCCCTCCGGAGAGTCCTGGGCGCCTGCTTCGCGCAGGATCCACCCGCGGGAAGCTCCATGAGCCTGGTCTCCCCCAGAAGCTGCCCCACCTGCCCAGGAAGTAAGGGGCTCTCTCCGCCATCCCCCCCCCCAACCACAAAACACACACACACACACCACACGCACACGGCGGGGGAACCTTACCAGGATCATAGGCGAAGAGGCCTCTTGTAAAAATTGGATCATCGCTTGCTCGGGCCGCCTCTAAACATTTTCTGGGCAGCTCAAAGTTTGAACGTGCTTCTACAAACTGTGGTCAACTACACGTGCAGAATCTGTGAAGAACCGTATCTACCTGGCCGCATTTGCATCTACTTGTGGCCTGGTATCCAGAGAGGCGTCCTCTCTCTTCAGCCCACACGGCATCGCAGGCTGCACATCTGATCGAACATCGCTGATACATTGAGAACTTACTGCTCTTTTTTTGCGCAGGCTGGAGCACGGATGAGATCGAAGGTGGCGCATTGCTGCTGAGGAAGGCCGAGTTTCGCGCCAATGCACTCTCGTGCTGGCGCTTTAGTCCTGCCGGCATCAGCTCAAAAAGTAACATTGGCGTTCATGTAATGATATTTACCTGAAGACCCTGATGGTCTTTCCACAGCAGCGGATCTGGAACCTCCTATCCTGCACGCATAGACGGGACACGCTCTCGCGAGGGGCCCTTTGCTGGCATGCCAAGACAGAGGCTCGCTTGCTTTGGCTTCCCGCCACATGCGCGTTAAACTCTGCAGTGGCACAAACGCTCTATCCGCATCAGACTGTGCTTGCCACACCATCCGACACCACTGCAACGCGTGCGCTAATGCAGATCTAGCGCTCTCGTCTCCAAAAAAAAAGTTTTGGCACTGAGGCTCGTGCCTCCGTGCTGCGGGGAACGTATGCGGCCCTGAAGCCGTCGGAACTGGAGCCACTCCTGATCGCTTAGGCCCAGGCCCTCCGTACCGAAAACAACTCCCGCAGAAACTCCAGTCTTTCAAACTCGTTGAAACGATTGTTTTGTGCATCCTGCTACCGTGCGTGCCAAACGTTTGTGCTTCCGAAGCCTGAGGCGTATCTTCTTGAAACGAGATCTTTGTGTAGAGCGCGTCCCTGGCTTGGTTTTAAATTTGACACAAGATTGATCGATTCCAAGATAGGCTACACTGTCCAGGGCTGTCTCCCTAGGGAAACCTAACTTGCGACAGATCTCCCTGGCTAGCCCTGGGCTGCTAGAGACAACTGCATGTTTGTCATTCAACGTGGCCGGCAATTCTGCCACGCAACGCTTGAAGTCCTGGCCTGCGCTGATGGCCATTCCTAGCGTGATTTCACGATGACTACTGCTTACACCGATTGCACTGTCATCGATGTAGTTGAGAAAATCGATGTACGGTAGCCTAACTAAGAACTCGTCGAAACTCTTGACAGCATGAATATGTATCGCTATGTCGATGAAAACATCTCCCGCTGGGAGTCCATTTCACAGCAAAAAGAACACGCTGCGCATGATGCTGCCCTAGTCTTACGAGCCTTGGCCCCTTGCAAACTCTTAGGACTTGGCACTAGACGCTACGGCCCTGCTGCAATAGGCGTGGCAACACCAGCAGACAAACTGTGAGAACACCCCCGGCCCCTCCACCATCCTCAGAAAGTCATATCATGAGTTTGAGAGGGCAGGGAGGGGGGTGAAGCAAGTGCAAGATTCTATCATCCAGGTGGAAAAAACAACTGGAGGAACTGTTTCCGCGCTGCCGGTTGCTGGACCACGAGTCCCAGGAGGCGGAGCTGGGTAAGCGCCAAACGCCAAACGAGCCAAGCCGGTGGAAGAGGAGGCGAAGGAGCCGGGGGAGACAGCTCCTTCGTCCAGCAGCAGCCTGCGGACCTCAACGCTGCTATTTCGGGAGCGCTGGACCCCCAGGCCCTGAGGCGACCGAAACTCGCTACACCAGGAACGATGTTTTGGCGATTTCGTAGACCGTCTTCGCTTTCTGCAGCGAGGGCGGAACGGTGACAGGACGAAGGAGAGCAACAACAGGACGAGCATGCAAAACACTATCAAGTGGCTGCCCGCGCTCCCCCCCCCCTAAGGACCGCGCGCACGCACTGGACGGGAGCGGGTGACGCTAAGTCGGGCGTGTTCTCCTACAGGCGGATTGTGGGAGAAACATTAAAACACATAAAACATACACCAACGTAGCCAGCGAAGACTCCAAACATCGTCCCCAGACCATTTTGTAAACTATTATTGAAGATTCCTCCTGTGGAGGCACACGCCCGACTGAACACTGGACGGGAGCGGGTGGCGCGGGGGCCTGGATAACGACGCCCTGCCCGTAGCATTGCGCGCACTGCGACTTCGTGCTGCCTCGCACCGCAGATGCGGGAGGGGTGGGTGGGCGCGCTCGCTGCTCCCGCGTCGCCCGTCGTCCCTTGCTTCCTCGTTCCTTCCCCTCTCCTCCTGCCTTATCATCGCCCTCCTCCCTCCTTCCTCGTCCTCCTCCGTATTATTACCCCCCCCTCCCTCTGCCTCCGCCTCCTCCTCCTCCTCGTCCTCCTCCTCCTCCTCCTCCTCCTCCCCTTTTCCACCCGTTTCCTCCTAACGATGTTTGCCTTTTCGTCTGTCCGTTCCCGGTGGGTCATTGAGGCCTCGACAGGGCTCCAATATCGCCCAATCTGGCCCAAGACGGGCACCAGTGGGCTTCAAGACGGCCCCAACAGGCGATTGATGGGACTTCACGAGGCGGGGCGCTAATTCAGGACCTCTCTTCTTCTCTGGTCGAGGCCGGCCCTCTTTTGCCCGACATTTCCTCGGAAGTTTGGCTCCGAGATGCCGCAGGCGAGGTGGCCCAGCGAATTTCGCCGAACACGTCCTCCTAAATTTTTAGCGATCCGAAACGCCAGGCGCCAGCCGGTCTGGCCAATTTCGCCTCACACGTCCTCGTAACTCTGGGCTCCAAGATGCCGCGCGAGGTGGTCCGGCCACTTCCGCCCGAAACAGCCTCGCAACCCTGCGCGCCGAGATGGGGCTCGAGCGGCGGTCCAGTCTGCTTCGACTGGGAACGTCTTCGCAACTCTGCGTTTCGAGACACTGATCAAGATGTGGTTTTGCCGCCTCGCCTGCGACACTATATTGCCTCTGGGTTCCCACTTACAGTCGGCCTTGATTGAACAGGACACGCGAAAGGACACAATACCCTTCCGAGGGCCACATTGCCATAGGAATGCAAGAGGCATGGGTCGCGAGACACAGGGCACAAAGGTACCCTTGATTTGGCAGGGCCGACCTACTAATCCGGGCCGACTGTACCCTGGCCCCAGAAGGTCCAGCCTGTTCCGCTTCAAACATACTCACAACTCTGGGCTTAGAGACGCTGCAACTCTGGGGGCCTCTCTCGACCCAAGAGTTTACGTGCCGAGCTCTTCTGGGGCCCTCCCCAACCAGCACATTCCCCGAACCGCCGTGGGGGCTGCCGTCCCTGAGGGTTTGTTGCCTGGAGGTACCTCGGTCGACCTCAGTACCTGGGGTTCTCTGCCCTCCGTCCTCCTCCATCTTTTACCCTTCTGAACAGTGCCTCCCTGTCACGCCCCTAGACGTGGCGGTAGGGTGGGCTGGCAAACAACCCCACGAAGCATCCCCGAGGACTCTGACCCACAACCCAGGCGTGGTGGCGGGACGGACCGAAGGTTGTTGGCCAGGGATCGGGGGGTTCCTGGGCGCACACATGACTGCGCAAACTATGCAGAATAGCTTGGCATCTGCGGGGAAGAAGCGCGACAGCAAGAGCTTGACGAAACACAGCCTGTAAGAAGTGCGCCAAAGACCGGCCGGCGCCGCTGCGACATGCACCGTGCAACATCGCGACAACGCGTTGGCCGTGGGCCGAACTGTGCAAAGACCGTGAGGCAGTGCTACCGGCAGTGTCCGATGAGCTTGCCGTTGTGAGTGGTCGCGGCGCCTCGCGCTAACAGCTGCGTTCGCCCCTGGGCCCAAGCCTCGCGCTTGGTCGCCCGATCCTGCTCATTGAGTTGGGCCACCGCGGCGGGGGCAAAGGAGGGGCGTTGGCGAGCAAACAGGCCGTGCACGTCGGGCGCCGCGCATCAGACAAGAGCGCGACGCACCGCAATCGCGCGTGGACAATGGCGCCGCGCGCAGGGCGCGCGACAGAGCCGTCGACGCGTTGCTGGGCGGCCGCGCGACGCCCATGCTTGGCCCGACAGTGGCTGGCCAATGCGCGCTCGGAGAGAAACCGCGCTGGGCAGTCCGGACGCTGGTGGCCCAATCCGCGCCTGGCACCGGGCTCCGAATGCTCAGGCAAAGCGGCCCTGTCCAGGCGAGACTCGCGACCGCAAACCTTGTCGAGGATCTGGGCCCACCTGGCGGCGCCCCTCAAAAGGCCGAACCACGCCCGCGGGCCTTGCCGCGAGGGAGGCGCACCAGGCAACAGGCCGAGCGAGCGCGCTCTCTCAATGTCAGCCCGAATCGTCGCTAGCCACGGGAACTCTGGCTCTCCGGCGCCGGCCTGCAGCAAGGCGAAGAGGGGCGCTGGCTGGTTCCGGACCAGCCTGCCGAAGTGCCATAAGCGCGCGCCCATCAAGATGCGATCGAGCGAGGGCTGCCCAGGCTTCTCCCTGACCTCCTGGTAGGACAGCGCCACCACCTGACAGAAACGAGAGTCTCCTGCAATGCGTCGAAGCACTGGCATGCAGACCCCAGACAGGTGTCGAATCTCCTTAATAGGCAGACGTGAAGGTTGAAGGTGAGACGGGAGAGGACGAGGCTGCGCAGGGATGCAATGTTGCACTTGTCGCCCATCAACGGCGAGCCGAAGACCTTGCGGGAGATGGGCGCGTGCGCCGCCATCGCAGACTGCGACCTGTGGGCGGCGCTGCGGAATGACATTCCGTACGCAGAGACCCACGTGCCGAAGTGCTTGTATTCCTCGCACACGTGCAGGGATTGGCTGGAAACCGCGATCGGGATGGCCAGGCTGCCGTCTGCTCGCCGCCATTGCTCTCGAACTTCGACCGAACGCTTGCCCCGAAGAGCAAGAGCAAGGAGGCCTTCGTTCTTGCCCTTGCCCCAGTTGATCTCCAGGTGGTGGTCGCTGAAAATGCCGCGCAGAATCTCGAGCAAGGCGTTGGTAGCGCGCGCCAGCGCCCGAGGAAACTCCGACAACAGGATGACGACCTCGTCGTCGACGAAAGTGGCGTCCACGCTGGTCTTCGACAGCAGCTGGCCCCCAGAATGCGCCTGGGGCCTGCGGCGTGCGGAGGCCCGGGCCCTCTCGGCGCAATCGCCACCTGGGCGCGTCAAGTGCCGGGGTGTAGGCCGAGTTGAACACGAGGGATCCGAGCTTGCATCCCTGGCGCCCCCTTGCGCGAGAGGCTACGACGCGTTCCCCTCTTGGCACCTCAAACAGCGATTGCTCGTAAAACGCGCGGGCCATCTCCGTAGCCGTGTGGTTGGCCCCCCACTGCTGCAGTAAAAGGCCGCGCTCCTCGACGTGCACGCGCAGCCACCGGGCCGCGCGCGGGGCGACACCGAGCTCACGGAGGTGGCGCTCGCGGTGCTTACGCTCCACGCTGCCCCAACCCATGGCGAGCTGGCGGATGGCCCTGTCAAACGCCTTGGTCAGATCGACGAAGAGCAGGAACAGCGATGCCTGCCGCGCCTGAGCCATGGCAGTGGCAGTGAGGACCATGTGCGTCGCGAAATCCGTGCCTCGCTTAGCCACTGCGCCGGATTGCGTGGCTGGCAGGCGCTCGTTGACGGTTGGCTACAGCACGTCCTTGGGGATGCCAGCCAAGCCCCTTCCAGCGTGGACAGCGAGGAGGATGCCGCGGTGGTTGTCGCAGATTCTGTTTGTGGAGGTGCGGGGAGAGGCCGCCGCGACAGTGCAAGGGCCACTGGTAGTTGTGGAGCACCCGCTCGTTGACTGAGGCGTACAAGGTTGCAGCAGGGCTCCCTTCATCCACCAGAATCTCGGCGGGTACGCCATCGATGCCCACGCCTTTGTTGCGGCCGAACTTACGGAAACTCTCTGCTGTCGCAGCTGGCCCAGCGTCGATCAGCAGGACGTCGCTGTGGGCGGGCTGCTCCGGTCGTCGCATGTCGCGTAGGGTGGTCAGCTTTCCTTTGAAAACGTCACATGCATGTTCCTCCCAGCGCGCGGTCTCCTCGGAGGCGTTCTGGGTAAGGGTGCCGTCGAACTTGAACACCTCTGTGTTGGCGACGGCCGAGCGTGCGCCGAAGGCGCGGGCGACGGCAAATTGAGTGCGTGCAACACCAGCGTCAGCTGCCGCCTAAGCCTTCATCACCATGCTTTCGAGAACCTCCAGGCGGTCCGCGTGCAGGGACTCGCGCACGCACTTCTGCAGGCGCAGGATGGCAGCGTAGAGTGCGGACTGATGCTTCCGCGCTCGCGCGTGGGAGTTCAACGAGTCCAGGGCTGCACCCAGCGCGAAGGAGGTGGGCGACGACATGGGAGACGCGGCTGAGTGTTGCGCCCGCCAGAGCTTCCAACCGGGGAGCGCTGCAAGCCACGTGTCAAAGAATGCACGTTGAAACCAAGCGAATCGATGACGCGCGGCGTGATGAGCGCGCCGTCGAAGGGGTGCAATAAGCTGAACTATGTCACACGTGGTGGTCTGCGAAAACCACGGTTTGCGCGGCAGGGGCCGGGCCTGGCCGAACACGTCCAAGGCAACCTCCGTCATGACGGAGTTTACCCGCGCCAGCTGCTCATCAACGCGCGGCTCGTCAGGAATGGGAACTTCACGCAGGCGCGCTTGGAATTCCTGGACCAGTATCGTGTCTCCCGCACCCGCCTTATCGATGCGAACGGGAGAAGGCCATTAGATCCGCCGTCCCCGGCTGATTCATCACAGGGGTGCCCGGCGTGCTAGACGATTTCTGTTTTGGTTTTGGTTCTTTTCCAAAAGAACTCGCCCTGAGGCTCCAGCGCCTCCCGCCGGGGTCCCGGAAGGATTGCCCAGAGGTGGTTGCAAAGGTGTTTTCTCTCCAGACGGCTCCAAGACAGCCCCAGATGGACTCCAAGATGCTTCCATGACGACCAAGATGGCCTCCAAGACGGCTAAGATGGCCACGAGATGCCTCCAAGGCGGCCCAACATGCACCCAAGACGACCCAAGATAGCCTCAAGATGGCCCAAGAGCCCCCTAAGAGGGCTCCAAGGCAGCCCGAGAGGCCTGCACGAAGTCCTCCAGGAAGGCCCGAAGAGGCCAAAATCATTGACCTTCAATGTTTTTGAAGGATTTTTGCATTTTCGCCTTTTCGGCCTTCCGACGGCCCAAGAGGCCCCCAAGAGGTCTCCAAGATGGCCCAAGAGGCCCCCAAGATTCCCAAGAGGCCTCCAAGACACTCAAAATGCCTCCAAGACGGCTAAGGTGGCCCCAAGATGCCTCCAACACGGCCCAAAATGCACCCAAGACGGACTGAGATGGCCTCCAGATGGCCTAAGACGGCCCAAGAGGCCCCCAAGAGGCCTCCAAGGCGGCCTCCAAGAGGTCCTCCAGGAGGGCCCGAAGAGGCCAAAACCATTGATTTGCCTCAGGTTTTTGAAGGATTGTGGCAGTTGGTTCTTTTCGAATTTCCGACGGCTCAAGACGGCCCAAGGGGCCCCCAAGATCGCCCAAGAGACCTCCAAGATGGCCCCATGACGGCCCAAGAGGCCCCCAAGATCGCCCAAGAGGCCTCAAAGATGGCCCCATGACGGCCCAACAGGCTCCCAACACGGCCCAAGAGGCCTCCAAGACGCTCAAAATGGCATCCAAGACGGTCAAGGTGCGTGCACAAAACTGCCCAAGAGGGCCCCCAAACTGCCCAAGAGGCCTCCAAGACGCCCAAGACGGTCTCGAAGACGGCCCAAAAGGCGTCCAGGAGGTCTTCCAGGAGGGCACGAAGAGGCCAAAATCATTGATTTTCCTCAGGTGTTTGAAAGATTTTGGCATTTGCTTCTTCTCGGCATTCCGACGGCGCAAGACGGCGCAAGAGGCCCCCAAGATCGCCCAAGAAGTTTTCAAGATGGCCCCGTGACGGCGCAAAAGGCTCCCAAGACGGCCCCAAGAGGGCCCCAAAACGGGCCAAGAGGGTTCCAAGACGCCCAAGATGGCCTCGAAGAACCTCTAATATGCTCCAAGAGGGCCTCAAGACGACCCAGACAAGCCCCCAAGACGGCTTCCGACGGCGTTCGACAAGCCAGGAACGCCCTAAGACAGCCAAAGAGGCCCCCAAGAAGCCCCCAAAGGCCCCCAAAAGACCTTCCAAGAGGCCCCCAGGAAGCTCCCAGGAGGCCCCAAGAGTGCCCCAAGAGGCGCCCAAAACGCCTCCTCCTCCTCCTCCTCCTCCTCCTTTTTTCCTCATCCTCCCCCTCCTCCTCTTCTTGATCCCCCATGCGTTCCCAGAAGTCTTTCCAAACCGACTCGGGGAACAACTGGCCCGATAGCTTGGCCAAGCTCTGGCCCAGCTGTCGGCCACAGAAGCGCTTCCAAAACGACAGGGGGCGGCGGTGATTCGCCGTAGGCGTCTTCGATCCGCCGCCCCCTGTTGATTCATCACAGAAGTGCCCGGCGTGCTGAATCTTTCGCTTTTGGTCTCGGTTCTGCTTCCAAAAGAACTCCCCCTGGGGTTTCGGCCCCGCCCGCCGGGGTCCCAGAATGTCGGAGAGGTCCCGGAATGGCCCAGAAAGGGAGATTCCAAAAGTTGTTCCTGCTCCAGATGGCTCCAAGATGGCCTCCCAGACGGCCCAGGAGAGTCCAAGATGCCTCCCAGTTCGCACAAGAAACCTCTCAGACGGCCCAGGACGGCCCCAGAGGCCTCCAAGAGGCTTCCAAGACGGCCCAAGAGGCCTCCAAGGGGTCCTCCACGAGAGCCCGAAGAGGTCAATTGAAGGACGTTGGCTTTTGTTTTTTTCGAGCCTTCCGACGACTCACGACGGCCCAAGGAGCCCGAAAGGTCGCCCCCAGAGCGCCCAAGAGGCCTCCAAGATGGCCCTATGACGGCCCAACAGGCCCCCAAGACGGCCCCAAGACGGCCCCAAGAGGGCGCCAAGACGGCTCCAGAGGCCTCCAAGACGCCCAAGACGGTCTCCAAGACGGCCAAGATGGCCTCCAAGATGTTTCCAACACGGTCAAGATGAGCTTCAAGACGGCCAAGATGGCCGCTAAGACGGCCAAGATGGCCCAAGATCGGCCCGAGAGGTTCCAAGATTGCCCCAGAGGAGTCCAAGAGGTGCTCCAGGAAGGCCCGAGGAAGCCAAAAAGGCCAGAGGGAGGCCTCCAATACGGCGAAGATGGCCCCAAGATGCACCCAAGACGGCACTAGATGGCCTGAAGATGGCCTTAGACAGCCCAAAAGGCTCGCCAGAGGCCTCCAAGACGGCTCCAAGGGGTGGTGCCGCATCCAAGTGGCCCCATGGGGAGCTCCACCGACGCCCTCAAATGGTGGTGCCGCATACCGTCCCACCGCCTACTCCGGACTTGATTTGGGGGGAGGGCTGATTTGAGCTGCATTGGAGGGTTCGGGGGGTCTGGGCAAAGGGCCGCCCTTTCATGGATGGTCTATAACGTCTCGTCTGGGAGGGTTGTGACCCTTGTATTACGACATATGACGTAATTATTCTGCATACCCCTCACACGCCTCGTCGGGGTCAGCACAGCCCGGGTCAGCCAGGCCCCTGTCGCGAGAGTAGTAGCTCCCACACCCAGGCCAGCGGCGGGCGGAAAGGAGAAACGGGCCCCACGTGGCTCCGAAACTGGGGTCCGCCAGTGGGGATCGGTTGGCCCCCATGAAGCGTTGACCCCAGCCACGTGAGTCTCAACCCGTACGGCACCCCTTTGGTGTCCGTTACATGGGAGCCTGCGTGGTCCCTGGCGCTGTCCGATTTGGGCCTGATGTGGGCCCGATTTGGACCAGATTCGCGGGGACTAGAAGAACGAGGGGGAAGACGGGGAACAGGAGGGGAGAGGAGGAGCAGGAGGATGGGCCAAATGCGGTCCCTGCGCGGTCCAAATGCAGGAAAAGCTGATCTCAATGTCGCCGCCCGCCCAAGGCTCCCATGAACAGACATCGAGCACCCCAACCCCCCGCCCACACGGGAGGAGGAGGAGGAGGAGGAGGAGGAGGAGGAGGAGGAGGAGGAGGAGGAGGAGGAGGAGGAGGAGGAGGAGGAGGAGGAGGAGCGAGGGCCTCGCTCGTGCCTCCTTCCCCTCCCAGAGAGAAGAATTGAGGGGAGAACGAAGAGCGAGGGCCTCGCCGATCCTTCCTTCCCTCCCCCCCCCGCCCAACACGCGAGGGGCGCCGCTCGCGCTGGCCCCACGCGCGCGCACCCCGCCGCGCGGAGGCGCCCTTCTTCCGGCCGGCGCCCTCGCAGGTGCCGCACACTTCCTGAGCGAGCGGAGGGGCGGCGGGCGGCCCGCGCAGGGAACGAGCGTGGAGCTAGCGCGGGGCCAGGCGTCGTCGACGTCGTCGTCATCTCCATCGTCGGATTCACCATCAGCATCATCATCAGCATCCTCCTCCTCCTCCTCCTCATCCTCATCACCAGCATCATCATGATCAGCATCACCAGCATCGTCATCGGCAGCATCATCAGCATTAACACCAGCATCACCATCATTATCATCACCATCCGCATCATCATCCGCATTACCATGAGCATTAGCATCACCATGATTTTCATCAACTATAACAACATCATCAACACTATCCTCATCCTCATCATCAGCAGCATCCCCAGCTTCATCCTCATCATCCTCATCTTAATCTTCATCCCCACCATCACCATCATCATCAGGGCGAGCGTCATGATTCATCATCGTCATCGTCATCAGCATCACCATCATCACCATCGTCATCGCCATCGTCATTGCCATCATCATCCTCATATCCAGAATCATCATCATCATCGTCATCGTCTTGGTATCGTCATCGGCATCATCATCGTCGTCGTCGTCATCTTCGCCGCTATTGTCAATGATGAGGAGCAACGTGAGCCAGCTCAACGGTGGAACCATCGGACTGGAATCGGCAATGCACCGTCGACAGATCGGCGACGGGCCCCCGATAGCAGATCCGCGTCTGTCTGTGTGGGCGGGGCGGGTTGTCCGGCGTTCCTAGGCGATGAGACTGGGTAGTCGAAGCCAATCTGGCGCCAATCTGGCAGGCCCAATCTGGCAAACGGGGGCAACCTGGCGAGGGAGCCAACGCGAATCCAGTCTGGCAAATAACCCGACTCATCCCCTCCTCCCCCTCCTCCCCCTCCTCCTCCTCCTCGTCCTCCTCGTCGTCCTCCTCGTCGTCCTCGTCCTCGTGGACGCATCGACCTTGTATCGCCCGCTCACCGCCGAAGGGCGCAGGACAGCCCTCCCCGCCCGAAAAGGCGCGGATCCGCGATCGGGGGCCCGTCGCCGATGTGTCGGCGACGCATTGCCGATTCCACTGGGCTGGCTACCGTTGCTCCTCATCATTGACGACCACGACGACGATGGCGATGACGATGCTATGCCGATGACTATGACGATGATAAGATGACGATGATGATGATCATGATGATGAGAATGATGATGTTGATGATATGGTGGGGAAGGTGATGGCGATGATGCTGGTGGTTGTGATAATGATGGTGGTGATGGGGTTCGTCACCACGTTGATGATGATGGTGATGATGATGGTGGTGATGTTGTTGCTGATGATGGCGAGGCTGGTAACGTTTATGACGGTGATAATGGTGATGCTGATGATGCTGATGTTTGGTGATGGTAATGATGATGACGATGACGATGGCGATGCACACGGTGGTGGTGATGATGATGATGATGATGACAATGATGACGATGATGGCGACTATGACGTTGATGCCGATAATGATGAAGACGACGATGATGGTGATGATGGTGTTGGTGATAGTGACAAGGACGGTGCTTTCGATGGTGATGATGATAGTGGTGATGATGATGACGACGACGATGATAATGGGTATGAGGTTGACGAAATCATGTGGGCTAGGATGACGACAAGGGAATGGGGGAGGAGGATTAGGAACAACTGAGGTGGACGGGGCCAGGACGGGGAGGAACGCATGAACGGAGAACCTATCGAGGTCTGTCCAGCGGGGCACAGAAGACAGGAAAAGGAGGAGGAGTCAAATGGGGGAGGACTCTGCTGGATTCTGCTGCCTTGCCACGCGCGTGGCCGAACTACCCTCGGTCACTGTCCCCGCCGCTGTCAAATTAGGGGGATGGTTGGGAGGGAGGATGCGAGGAGGAGTGGGGGAGGAGGGGGGAAGATGGGGGGAGGTGTGGACTGGGGAAGGGATGCGTGGGAGAGAAAGGATGGCGAAGACGGGGATGGAGGACGGACGCAGAACGGAGGGAACAAGCATTGCAGGTAGCGGCAAGACGAGGACGAGGTGGGCAGCGAAGAAGACATGGACGACGGCGGGGACAGGAGTGCCTCGGAGGCCACTTGAGGTCCCTGGGGAAGTAGCCGCAGGTCCCAAGGATGCAAGAGATGACTGTGAAGACCTCGATCCTCGACCCTCTTGCGATTATCGAACGACGGAGACGAGGACGTCGACGACGAGGACGACGCCCCCCTCGTCGAGGGCGTGGACGTCGACGACGTCGCTGTCGTCGTCGTCGGCGCCGCTGGCGAAGGAGTCCGCGGCAGCCGGCGCGCGGCGCGCGCGGTCCTCCCGGCGCACGGACACCTTTGAGCGGCGAAGAACGGTTTAACAGAAAACTTTCCGCCGTCGGGGACGCTTGCCCCTCGGGCGGCTGGAAATATGATACCCGTACGTGGCACCGTACGGGTATAAACTTTCCAGCCGCCTGGGGTGCAGGCGTCCCCGACGGCGGAAACTTTTCTGTTATACCGTTCTTCGCCCGCCGAACCTTCTTCTCCTCGCCGAAGCAGGCCGACCTCCCCGGGGGGCGCCGGGCGGCCCGCGACGCCGCGGCGCGTGCTCACAACTGCTCGTGCGCGGTGTGCCGCCGCTCGTCGCTGCCGCCGGTGCGAGCGCACACGCCGCCGCAGCCCGCGATCCCTGCGCCGCGGCGCGCTGCGCCGGGTGCTGCTCGAAGTGCCCCTAGCCTTGTGTTGCTGCTTTCGGCACTTCAGGACCAGATCCCAGAAAGAATTTCGAGCACCCAGAAAAGTACCGAAACAGTGTCGAACGAGTATCGCTTCCCAGGTCCCGACACGTGACAATCCTTAGATTTCGGCACTTCCTTGGTACTCGAAATTCTTTCTGGCGTTCAAAGCTAAAGTAGGATGGAACATCATGATCCTGGCCCGGGGTGCCCGCAGGATTTCCAAGGAGGCCCCCACGGCCTCCACAGCACACCTCGCGAGGCCCAGAGGGCCCCAGAGGCTCCAGAGTGGAGCGAAGAGCTGGGGACACCCCGGGCCAGGGGCACTTTTCGCAGCCCCTCCCCGCTCGCCCCACTTCGCTGGACGTCGCGAGCCGCGCCCCCCGGCTGCGAGGCTACCTTCGCGCCCTCGCAGCTGGGAGGAGGGCCACCCTCCAGCGCAATCCGCGCGAAGCGCGGTTCCCTTCGCGCCCCTGCGGGTGACCTGGCGCGTCTGTCCGCGCTCCTCCCGCTCCCTCAGCCTTTCGTGTAACAGGAAGCGACAGGAGCGAGGACAGGCGGCGCGAGGCAGGCAGCGAGGAAGCAGCGGCCAGGGTGGCCGGGATGTGGTGGGCGCGCTCGCATGACGCGCACGAGCTGCTCCTCGCGCTGGCGCATGCTGCGTGTGGCTTCAGACACTGCGCTGCAAAAAGCGACGCCGGGAAGAAGGGTAAGTCGGGGGCGCGCGAGCATGGATTAGCAATTTGTGTATTTGGCGCGCGGTCGCCGATTCCATGGATCGGGGGAGGTGCCCTCCCCAAAATGTGGCTGGTGCCGCCTCGCTCGGCGGCGGAAATCCGCGATTTCCCATGGGAACGGGACCCGTCCCTAATCCACGCCCTCTTGATCCCTTGATCCATGTTTGCGATCGCCTGGGTAAGGAAGAGGAGAAGGGAGGTTCGGGGGCGGCCAAGAGGGGGGCGTCCAAGAGGGGAGGCGCAAATCATGGCCAGCGGCATGTGCGCGGCCCAAGGGGGGGGGACCAGGGACGTAACGAAATAAGAAGAGGCGCCATGAAATCTGGGGAAATATCATGGCCCACGCCATGATATCCCCCCCCCCCCTAGTCATCACCCTCCTCTTTGCCGCCCGGGCAAGGGCCGAGGTCAGGCTGGAGTGCTCACCGATCCGTCGGGAGCGCCGCCGGCGGTGCCCGTTCCCGCGCGGAGCCCCGAAGCGCTTCGCCTGCCGGGGAACGTCATACCAGGGCATTGTCCGTCCAGATGAAGCCCTACACGCCGCCACGCTGGTCCCGGGCAGGCTGTGCTGCCCGGCGGAAGGGGACGAGGAGGGGAGAAGCAGGCAGACGACGCCGAACGCGCAGGCTTCTCCTGGGTCATCTGGCCCCTTCCCACTAGCTCCGCAAGTGGCCGAAAATGAGGGAGGCCTCGCGCGACAACTTGAGACTCGATGTACGTCGGATCGTCGGGTTCACGTCGGACTACGTCGGACTAAGTCGGACTGACACCGGAGCATCGCCGCGCGAGCGTCGAGCCATAGCTTACGGAGCTGACGTGTGGACTGGATAACACAACTATTACGCGCCGCGCGACGCCTCCAGGAGGTTCCTCATAACGCATCGCTCCCATTGCGAGCGCTCGATGCGAGCCCCTGTTGGGGGCAATGTCTATATCCACATCCGGTGCGTCTTGGAGTGTCGGGCTCTCTTCCCCTGAAACATGCGGCGCGTTGGATATGGATTTCAATATGGCTCCAACAGGCTAGATGTTTATCCATGTCCAGCGCGCCTCGACCTTGCAGCGCTCCTTCCAATAAAGTCCAAGACGCACTGGATACGGATGTAAGTATTGCCCGCACGTGTCTTCTCGCAAGATTTGGTGGAAGATGACGTAGGGTGCGGCGTTCCTCCTCGGCAGATCTAACGAGACCCGCGCCCTGGGAAAGGCAAGCTGCGAAGGACCCTGGTGTAGCTAATCAGCTTGCCAATGATCTTGAAAACAACATACGTCAACAATGCTCCGTCGAGGCCACTCCGGGCATGAATCACTTGAACGGGTGCAAGGCGACAGCTTTCACGGACGCAGCTGAGAAGCATTCACCGAGGTTGTCGAGAGACCTAAACGCCGACCTTCGATCTCGGACTCAACAGTGCTTCTTGTCAGCGAGCGCTTCGAGGCCAGACAGGCCCAGGACGACGCCGAGGAGCTCCGCCCGGACAAGTGCGTCAGAAGGGCTGCGCGACGAGACCAGAACGCATGGCTGTCCAACCTCGCTTCCACAGGAGATTGAAGCTCTCTCCGCAAGCTCAAGGAGGCTGCTCACGGCTAGGGTCGTCTCGCAGACGCAGACGGCGTCGTTGTCAGCTCGGAGGCCAAGGCCAACACATTTGCGATGTACGTGGAGTCACTTCCATGGGCCGTGAGACCAGCGTGCCTCGTGGACCTGCCGAACTTGTTTGAAAAGCTACCAGTGGCACGTGCATCGATCTCGAAGAAGGAACTTCGGGGATGGACAGAAGCCCCTTCAGTAAAACGTGGTTCAGTCAGACCGACCTCGGGCCCAAACCTGGCGGGCGAAAGTCTGGAAAATGACGGCCGCGGGGCGCCCTCTCGAGAACCGAAAACAGACAATTCACTAATCGACGTGTCAGGGCGGGGGCTCTGTCCACCCCCGAGAGCTCAAGGACGCTTCAGAACCACTCTCGGACAGCAAGGCTGCTAGGCCTGACGAGCTCCCAGTCGAGCTCTGGAGAACTGCCTTTCTAGAAGGCGCGGAGGGCGCCGCGTGGCTGTTGCAACTATGCAATTCCTGCCGGCGAGGCCGAGCCGTGCCCGCGGCCTGGCACCTACGTCGCGTCGCCACGACCTCCAAGAAGGGGAACCCAGGAGACTGTGGGATCTGCAGGCCAATCTGCCTGCTGAACTCGGCGTACAAAGTCTTCGCGATGGTGCTCCTACGGAGTTTGGGGTCCCGAAACGGTGCGGTGACAGACCGTGCGATGGCCTCGAGATCCCCCAAAACCTCAACGCACAGTCCGTCACCGCACGGTCTTGGGACCCCGGAGGCCCCTGTCGCCCGAGACGCCCTCGGAGAACGACCCGAGTCCCAAAACCGTGCGGTGACCCCGAATCCCAACGGCCTCACCGCACGGTGCGGTCACCACCCCGCTTGGGGGCCGCCGACGGAGGCTGATGAGGGCAGGGGCGGACGACCCGATCCGGAGCTCGCAGTTTGGATTCCGCCCGAGGCGCGGCACCGCAGGCGCCCTGCGTTGCGGCAGGCGAGCCGTGGCGGAGGCGTGGGCGCATCGCGGTGGAGCTGTCCTCCTGCTTGCCCTCGGCCGGATGAGGGCGTTCGACTCTATCCACGTCGAGGGTCTGCTGCTCGCCTTGCGAATGTTCGGTGTCCCAGGCTTCTTCTCAGACGTCGTCAGATCAATATACTCAGAGGGAGAGAGCGCTTTCGTGGTGCAGAGGCGCCAGCAGCAGTTTCGCATATGCCAAGGATGCCCTCTGTCACCGTCTCTCTCTTCATAATTGTCATGACTGTCCTGATGAATGACGCCAGCTGCATGCTTGGCGCAAGCGCGGTCGACGCCCGCAACAACGACGAAATGTACGATGTGTTGTACGCCGATGACACCTTGCGTATCGGAACGAAAACGAAACACGTGCAAGAACTTGCAAGCGCAAAAGAGATAAACCGGCTTCCAGTACGGCATGACGCTCCACTGGGCAAGGAAGTCCCAAGCGCTTCCGCTTTGCACCGACCAGATCCGCAGGCAGGACTCCGGCGAGCCCATGCCGCAGGTCGACTCGATGGCGTACCTGGGCAGCCTGGTGAGCAACGCCGGGCGGGTGGACTCCGAGCTGTCCAGGAGAATTGGCGCCGCCCATGGAGAGGTCGCCAAGCTGAAGCAAGTGTGGGCGCACGCTAACATTTCCAGGCAGCAGAAGTTGAAACTCTGTCAACATTTTGTCTTGTCGAGACTCCCCTACGGCTTATGCACGACCTGGTTGGTGACGGCTCAGCGGACTACTGGGTTTCCACGCGCGCTGCCTGCGCCGTATTCTCAATGTGCCACCGCCATCTGTATCGAGAATCTCAAATGACGAGACCTTCCGCCGCTCAGGCGCCCGGCCAGTCACTGATCAATCACTCGACCCACAGTTGGTGTTATTGCATCGTGTCGGGCGCTCGCCCGCAGGGAGCCCGTTGCGGCGAAATGCTTTCGAGAGGGTGACCGCCCGAGACAAGACTGGACAACGCAGGCGATGGACGAAACGGCGAAGAGGTACCCGGATCACCAGCGGATACAGGAGGCCATGATCGATCGATCCACAGGGTCGGAGCAGCACTGGAAGCACATGATGGGCATTTTCGTGAGGCCACCGCGCAGCAGGAGGCTTTGAGGGCCGAGCCTCTCCCCTTCCCCTCCTCCCTGCCCCCTCATCCTCCCCCTCCCCCTCTCCCCTCCCCCCCTCCGCTTGTCGACACATTGTCCTGACGAACTTGTTTTTTGAACTCGAGACGTCGATTTGTCGCCTGCCGCTCGCTCGCGCGACGCACCTTCGACTGGTGCGCGCGGGGGCCAGTCAATCCTCAATCAACGCTCTGTGGCCGATGCGCCATCAAGGCCTCTGGCGCCTCTGTCTGTCTGTCTCCTGCCTCATGCCTCCCCATTATCTGCAACCGTGCTTTCAAAGCGAAGTGGAGTGCCCCAAGGCTCATGCAGATTGTAAAATTCTTAGAGAGGCACGGACAACGCTTTCCTTTTCCTGGCGCTCTTGGGCGCTGCCGAGGTGTGCCGCGTCGGCTTCAGGACGGGGA